CGACAGAGCGAACCTTAGCAGCGTATCTGCTGCCTGGGCTTCCAGCTGGGATCCGTCTCCTCCTCCTCAGCCTTCCAGAGGAGATAAACTGCCTCTGTACCAAATATTTAGTAATTTGCAGAGCTGCTGTTGCCACTTTCTTTCCTCCGACACAGAGCTCTTGTTGGAGACAAATCACAGGGTTTCTTCTCGAAGGACCTGTGCGTGGTCAGCGAGTGCACTTAACCAAAGTCACCTCCTTGCATCCTTCTCTTTTTTTTTTATTTTTTTATTTTTTATTTTGATCCAGTACCTGAGGCCCGATGGATTGTTTCTGCTCAGGGAAGAGGCTGATGAGCATTGGCTGTTTCTCGGGTGAGCCCCGTGTCCTTGCGGACGCGGTTTCCTTACGCAGCAGGGGGGTTTCCCTACCCAATAAGCCAAATCCCACTCCCAGGCTCTTGCTGTGTTTGGTTTTGTGTCTGCCTTGGTGGGCTCCACCTGGTATCGGCCGTCCCATCCATGGCATGGAGCATGCAGGCGCGTGGCCTTGGCGTGCTCCATCCTGGCGTGGCTCTGGCTTGCTCGGTGTCAGCTACCCTCCTCAGAAGAGAAGTCTGTATGCTTCTAATTTTCTTTCTTTGGTATATTAATTTCAACCAGATTTTGTCAGCAATCCGCTAGGAAAATAACCCCAGTGTGCCACAAACCGCATCTCACAAAGCGTCACGTAGGTTTTCGGGTCCTTGTACTGCCAAGACGTGCACCGAGGGCAACGTGACCCTTCGTGGCGATGCTGTCCTGGCCCCGGGGGGTGGCTCCTGCTGCTTCTCGGTTTGTGTTCTGGGTGAATCACTCCCTGGCGAGCCTTGTGCACGCCTGGGCAGGCCGGAGATGCTGCTGCCGCTGCTGGGGGTGGCCAGTGGACCTGCCCCTTGCCTGTCCCCATGGCCAATGTGTCGCCCTTCCTCCATTGCTGGTCCACTGGGAGCGCAGCTCTTGCCTCATTCCTCTCTCCGTACTGTTTGCTGCAGGGTGTGGGGGATCAGACCTGGTGGCAGGAGGGGCCCCGGCGCTGGGGCACGGTGGGGCAAGGGCTGCCCGGGGTGTGCGGCGGAGTGGGAACGTTTCCCCTTCCCCGGCACCAGCCACTGCGGCTGCTCGGGCAGGGCAGAGCGATCCTCCGGCATCCAGAGCGGCCCCAGCACGCCGCCAGCGCCGGTCCCTCTGTTCAGCAACGCGCTTGGGGTCAAAGCAGAGAAAACCCTGCGGCCCCCCAGCTGGGAGCGAGCTCGCGCTCCTCTCCCCCTCTGCGAGCGTTGGTGCAGCTGCCACAGCAGCCGCAGCCCCAGGACCAAAACCAACCGGTCCCCACCAGAAAATGCAAACTCGCCGTCGAGCGCCTGCCCGGGAGGCGCCTCCTCTCTCCCTGCGCTCAGACCAGAGTTTGAATTTGTTTGGGCAAATTGCGCAGCGGTGTGACTTCCAAAGATACAAACCTGAGATTTCTCGGGGGACGACGCTGCTGCCCTCCCGTCAGGGGTGTGAAGGGTGAGAGGTTTTACTTTGGTCCCACCCTCGTGTAGTCTGTCTCCAAAAATCTGTTACTGCAGAAGGTGATAAGTGGGGCTCCAGAAGGGAGAGCGGGATGTGGCGGGTTACGTGGGGAGCGTGCGGCGGCAAAGGTGATGGGTGTCTCCACAGCTGGGGCACGAGGAAGGACCAGCTGCTTCCCCTGGCCAAAGTGGGACGGGGAAGGGGGGGGCTTTGGGGTGGGGACGGCCCCCTAATTACAGAGATTTAGAGGGTGAAGAATACAGAGGGGGAGGGAGCGACGTTTAGAGAGGAGATATGTAATTACTGAGTATGAGTAATGGGGTGAAAGTAAGAAGTTTATTCAACACATCGCTAACTTTTTTGGACAGTAAATTCTCTATGGTTTCGGATTAGAGTTGAAGGGAAGCAGTGGAATAGTTGTTTAAATTCAGACCAGAAAACTTTCTTAGTCTATATAAAATCTTCCCAAACCCCAGTTTTGCTCTTCTGGAGCTGAACAGAGCCAGTTCTGTATATTAATAGCTACTTCTGCCCATAGGGATGTTTAAAAAAAAAAAAAAAAGAAAAAAAGAAAGTATGAAAGTGTCCCCCTCTGCCCTGCTGGAAGCTGTGCCCAGGCTTCTGCCAGCTCTGCCGGAGACACAGCCCCGCCGCTCACCGCGGGAGGACCCAGTGCCCTTCCCTCGTGCCATGGGCCATCTCCTCGCCGAGGCGTCAGACCTGAACGCCCAAGGTCAAGTTTTGTGGGGACGCTGGGGGGCTGCGGGTTTGCGGAGGAAGGGCTGGGGCGGACGCGCGGCGGCGCCGCTCCCGAGGAGCTGCCCTGGGCTGTCGGGGGCTCGGGGCTCTGCGCGTCCCCGTTGTGTAAAGCCTTCGCGGAGGAGAAGGATTTAATTGGAGCAAGGTTGCTTTGACAGGCTTCTCAGATTCATGCCACAGCATTCTTTCCCCCCCCTGAAAAGCTGGTTTGGATTTGGGTTACTCTTCGGAAAGCATCATTTAAAGCTTATGTTTCACCTCAAAAATCTCTTTATTTTCCTTTCTTTAAAAATTAAGTGTCTCGGAAAAAAAAAAAAACAACAGGAAGAAAATACCCAAACCTTCTAAAATGCCCAGAGGAGGAATTTAGAGTCCACTGAAGGAGCAAAGGCCTGGCCTGACAGAAATTACCGTTTTCTGCTGGGTGAGTGGAGCCCGCGAGCTGCGGTGGGGAGCTCAGGAGCCTGGTGCGGCCGTGGGACGTCGGACGCCGAGACCGCGGGTTCACCAGACCTCGCCAGGACAGAAGGGGCGGAGGGACGTTTCCATGTGCTCTGAGCTTCAGGTTTTAACTTCTTAAGCAGTGAGGAGCCTCCTAAGGAAAAGTATTCTGAGAAAACAATGATTTTTTTATTATTACTGTGTAGCTCGGAAATGGCAAGTCCAACCAGCGTCGCCTTTCCCGCTGGCTTCCCGTGTCTCCCCGGAGCCAAGCCGTTCGCTCGCTGCTGGCTGATTTTGCTGGCAATTAATCTGATTACTGTAAAATGAATCTGATTCATTCAAGATTTCAGCGCCGGCTTCAGTCAAGGTTGCATTTCTCCCTTTGCTGCGGTTTTTCGACGGGCAGGAGGCGGGCGAGGCCTCGGGCAGGGCAGCGCGACGCGGGCGCTGGGCGAGGGGGAGGCCTGAGCAGGTTTTTGCGCCCGCTGGCTTGCAGAGACACAGCCGGGGGCGACGCCCTGCCGTGATTCATTGAGGAAATGTTTCTTTATCTGATTAGTAACAGTCATTGATGAAACGGGCGCCGGTTCACTGCTCAGCCTGGCTCGCTGGCGTCCTGCGTGACCCGCTCCGCCGTGCCAGCGGGAAATGGTTGTGTGTGGAACCGTGGAAGGTGCACAGAGACCCCGAGCTACGGAAGTTTTCTCTCCGTGGCAAAAGGAATTGCTGGCTGGGCTTTTGCTCTTAGCGTGGATGTGAGCTGGTTCCCCCATCTGACCAGGGATCTCTGATCCTTTCCAGCCTGGCCGGCAGCGTGCACGCACACACAGACGCACACAAATGTCAGGAATTAAGGAACTGCACAGCTTTACCCACAGACATCTCTGTTCAGAGTCACAGAATCTCCTGGGTTGAAAAAGACCTTGAAGATCATCGAGTGCAACCACTGACCTAACACTGACGGTTCCCGACTCCACCATATCCCTGATATTTCTGTTCGTGGCCGATGATGTTGCCTTTGCCAAGCTCCTGAGGCGCGTCTCAGCACCATGTAACTGGGCACTCCAGGCATTTTTACATTTCTGCTCCGCTCTGGAAGTTATTCCCAGTGCTTAAAGGTGATTTAAGGTCTGTGAAGCAGGAAGGAATCTCCCCTTCTGTAACACGCTGACGTCTACCTCCCTGGTGTTGAAGCTTTGATAGTAAAATATGACAGGAGTTTTTACCAAGAACTCATGGGCTTCTTCCCATTTCAGCTCCTGAAAGGTTGCTCAGCGCTTGGCAGAAGATTTTTCTGGCTCAGAGAATGCCTTTTGTTCGAGGGCCTGTGGTTTTAGCGATAGAACTGGACATGCCCCGTTCTGCTGGCCGAGCGGATTCCGTGGTGCGGGAGCGGCTGCCTCGGCTCTCCCGGGCTTGCCCTGGTCGCGGAGCTGGGGGCAGGCGGCCGGGCACCTGCCGACAGAGTCTCACTGTTTGTGTTCTGCCCTTTGTCCGCTTGGACTCCAGCGTGTTCTTAAATGTTGTCTGATTCTGAGCAGATTGTAATGACTTTCTCCAGGTATTAATGTGTTTTCTTCCTCATCACCAGCGGCGCAGAGCAATTCTGAGCGCAGCTTATCGCCACGTACCCCGGATTTTGCTGCATTTCAGCAGCAGGGCGAGTGAGTTCTGGGCACGAATGGCCCGAAATCTGTTAAATGCTTTGCAAGGTGCTGAGATGGGAAGCGCGGCAGTAAAAGCTCTCACCTCTGGCAGGGCTGGGCTCAGTGGAAACCAGCTTTTGTGCTGCGGAAGGCTGAGGCCGGCTGGGCCGGAGGAGAACGTCTGCTGCTGCGGCGCCGAAGGTCGCGGCTTCCTATCGCTTCCTGTCAGTCTGGAGCCTTAGGTCTTCGCTCCACCTTCTCCCAAGTACCAAATGGACTAGCCGAGCCCGTTTTCAACACAGACAGAGTTAGGAAGTGTAAAATATTAGTTAATCCATGATCTTAGTGCGAATGGGGGAAGGTGAGCTGGATGAAGGGTGGTTTATGTCAGTTGACAAATAGGATGCTTTTTCCCCCCACCGATTACACCCCTGTCCTTGCGATTTCTCACACAGCTCGAGTGATTAAACGTAACGACGTGGCAATCTTGTTCCCTCTGCGTTCGTTCCTCAAAGCGGGAGTCAGTCAGCAGAGGATAAATAATCCTGACTTCAGACACTGTCATGCCCACTCCTCTGAATTTTTTTTTTCCCCTCTTCCCTTTTTCTCCTGCAGATGTTGACGAGTGCCAGGTCCACAACGGGGGCTGCCAGCACAGGTGTGTGAACACCCTTGGCTCTTACTATTGTGAATGCAAGCCAGGCTTTCGCCTGCACACAGACGGCAGGACCTGCATTGGTGAGTCACCGTTTTAAAATTTCTTGAGAACCTCTAATTCTTCGTGGCCTCTTCCTACCTGTAAGTAGGTGGCATCGTACGAAAGGTGCTCACGCGGGTTTGCCTGCTCGCAGCCGCCCTCTCCGCAGGGGAGTTGCGACGATGGGGATGGACTGCGTGTTCCTTTGTTTCTCAGCATCCCGGTAGCCTTCCCTAACAAGTTTCAATTACCGGGTCCATAACATTTGCTGTTCTTCGGCGTGGACACATACAGTTTTGACTTCTTTGCAGTTCCTTAGTTTATTCTGCTTCAGGAGAAGTAACTCTCAGTGCTTTGGTACTTCTGCTTTTGATACGCGGTGTGCCAGATACGGCGTTTCCAGCACTAATACAGAAACTAGATTGTGAGAAGGTTCAAGTCAGTCTTCATTTTTACCTCAACTGTTTTTCTAGTCCACACGGGAGGCACTAAGTGTGACAGACAAGTGAAAATAAGCAGGGCTCCGTGGAGCCGTGGCCGTAATAATCCCAAAACCCTCTTCCCTGGGATGTTGGTCATGGGTCTGCTTGGACAGTGAGTGTCCAGACGTGACAGTTCAGATGCTGTTGATTCCTGGGACAATTTCTTGAATTCCTGTTGTTTGCCTGCCCCAAACTAGAGGTTCAGAGATACCGGGGTGGAGCTTGGAGTTTGCCTTCCAGCATCTGCTGCTGCTGTTGTTTTTATTAAACCACTTCTCCCTCGCAGCTTTATTTGCCACATTTTTCCTTTTTTTTTTTTTTTTGAGGGATATTTTCATACAAGTGGAAAGAATTCCTGGGCAATGGTGTTACAAAGGCCATTTGCTGCTTTTTTTCTCAGAATATAGTCATGCTCCAGAGTTTGCTAAAAACAACTGTGTGAGCCTGGGTGTTCCAGTTGGGACTGGTGACCTGAGCAGAAAAAAAGCCACCAAAGGAAGTGGTGCCCACCTTGCCTAGAGCAGCACAAACCGCCCCACTGCGGGAGCACGCTCACGAGCGCAGCGAGACACACGCTGAAGGGGCAAGTTCACCACGTGCCCTTTGTTTTGCTGGAAAAATCCAGAAGCAAAGGGATCGCAAATAAAGCCAAAAGCTGGGAATGACTGGCGGGGAATGGCAGTGCTGCTCCAGCACTGAACACGTAAACTGGTGGTGGTGGCTCTGCCTTGCTGCTGTTTGCGTGTAAGTGTGCATGGGGTCTGTCAGCTACTAATTGTCTTGGTAACGGGGGGTTCTCTGGGGTGAACAGTGGCTCTGCCTTGTGGAGTAAAGTGTTAGACAAACTGAGAGGGGGAGAGCGCTCAGTGGGGTCAGTCCCAGAAGGGGAAACAACGTCCAGAGAAAGTATAAAAGGGATCACTATAGGGAGGGTTCTCCTGTCTAAAAGCGATTTCCATCTCTGCTTTCGTTCTTGGGGTTCACCCGCTCGCGTGGCTGCGACGGGCAGAGCCTTTGTGGCGGGACCGGGACAGGCAGGGCTGCCCTGCTCCGCGCCGCTCGCGCTGGCCGCCGCAAACCTGCTTCGCATTAAACTTCTGAGCAAGTATTTGCCATAATGTGCAGCGTTGGAATTCATCTGCCAGAATTAAGGGGTCTCTGTTGATGAAACCTGATCTACTACGGGAGTAACTTGGGCAGTTTGTGGAAGCTCTGGGGAGCGGAGCTGGCAGGATCCGCCGGTAGTTCAGCGGTGCCTCTACCCCTGTGATCCACAAAGTCCAGGGGAAGGCAGATGCAGACCAGGCAGAGCGAGGAAAAAGCTCTTGCTACATAATTGTCCAGTGCTGCTTCTAAAATAACAACAGAGCAGCAGACCTAAAAAAAATCTGACTTTCTCACTTCAGAACTGATAGCTTTTGTTCTTTACGCTTTTGTGACAGAAATGAGCATACACGTGGATGTGTATCACGCCTTCTGGACTAACCTCTTAAGCCGGTTGTGTGGAGGGATGGAAGTAAACAGCTTTTTCTTGTAAGAGCTCAGAACAGGGCACAGACTGTGGGGTTGCTCCTGGCTGCCCTCCGCATACCCGGGGGTGTGAGGTCACCTTGTGCCACGGGTGCCCCTGTGCCGCAGGTGCCCTGTTTGGTGCTCGTTGCCTGGTGCCCAGCTTTCTGCCCCGCTGGATTCCCCACGGTTCTTGGTGCTGGAGCCCTGCAGCTCTCCTCCCTGCACCTGCCAGGAGCTTGGTGTGACGGGCTTTGAGTTTACACAGCTCCGATCCACGTGAATACGGGCTCTTTGTGCCCTGGAACGAGCCCACCCCGCCGCAGAGGGAAGCACCTCGGCTGGTGGCAATGGGGAGGCCACTGAGGGAGGGGACGCTCTCGCCCCGGGTCTGGTCCGTGCATGGGACGTGCTCTCCGGTTCGTTGCCTTTTCCCCCACGCGGGCAGCGAGCCCACGCGCCCGGCAGCGCGTTCCCGCGGGTCACCTCGTGGTAATCCCAGGCCCCTGGGTGTGTGCTCGTTTTCTGTGGGGTTTTCACAAGTACATGCAAGTGGTTCTTTCCTTTAGTGCTCGGTCTACGTAAATATTTACACTCGAAGTCAGAGGCTTTGCTCCGACTTGATCTTGGAAATCACATGGTTTTTATTAAGGCAGCATTCTTGACAAGAGTTACCAGGCAGCGATCAGAGGGCGCAGGCAGCGTGCAGGCAGCAGCAGCGAAGGCAGGAGGCCTCACTCAGCACGCTCCCCCTTCGCACTTCAGTTCTCGTGTTTCAGGAGCGCTCTCCCGGCGCCGCTGGGGAAGGGGAAAGCGTTTTCTCTCCCTGAACGCCGAGCTTAAGGCCAGCTGTCAGAGGAAGGCAGAGCAGCACAGCTGAGGGGAGGAGAGCAGCATGAGCACCCACCAAGGCCACGGGGGTGCTGGGGACCCGTCACGGGGCGTCCCCAGAGCGGAGGAGCTCTCCTCGGAGGCTGTGGGAGGGCGGCGCAGAAAGGAGGCACAAAAACCTCCCGTGGTGGGGAAAATGAGGTTGGTGATCGTCGATTTGTGGCCGACCACAGCAACGCCGGTTGTGGTGTGCAGCAGAACTGGAGCCGCAGCACGAGTCTTTGGGCGAGCAACCTCTGTCACAAGGAACAGAGCGGAGAGGTCGCGGTGCCGGGCAGCTGCTTTCTCGGGCTGAAGGTAGCCAGAGGTGGTGGGTTTTGCTCAGGAGAGCCTGAGCCACGTTCCTTCACTCCTGTGAAGTTTCAGGTACTGATTTGACTCCAACAAAGTTTTTGTTTTGTTTTTTTTTTCCCTGTGTGGTTCCGAGGGATTAGGTTAACTGATAAAGGCTGTGTCTCTCTTCAAGTGGGGACATCCTCTGGTTTTGCTGGGCAGGCAAGATTTAGTGCTGCTAAAACAGAAAAAAAAAAGATGCTGCTAAATAAAAGAAATAAGGTAGGGATAAAGAGAACTGGAGACAGTGAGACTCTCCCATCCAATCCCCTCTGCTCTGGCGCTGCCCTGCCCTTAGGGAGGGGGAAGTTGCTGACGGTGATCTGAGCCGGGGCTGCGCTGCGTTGAGCTGGGTCGAGCACAGAGATGGGCTTTAGGCGCTGGGTCGAGCACAGAGATGGGCTTTAGGCGCTGGGTTGAGCTGGGTCGAGCACGGAGATGAACTTTAGGAAGCTGCTGGCAGCCCCAGTGAGCAGCAGCCCAGGCCAGAAAGCACTTTGGAGAGAGGAAAAGACTATTGCCATGAAGTTTCTAGTTAAGGTCTGTAAAACCATGGATCTAATTCTTTAAATGTTTTCTAATCCCCACAAAGCCCCCAAATGCTTCAATTAATCATCAGCCCTGCCTGGGCGCTGCAGAATTCCCCTGCGGAGGCCGGTGGTTGTTAACCCCAGGAGGGCAGGACTGGGCGAGCAGCTCAGCTCCTGGGGCTGGGCTCGGGGTGGTCAGTCCTTCTCCACCCTCTGGCTGAACTATTATCCCAAGCTTGCGGTGGAAAGTCGCAGCCTATTTTATTCCTGAAGGCATCAAAGAACTGGAAAACAGATAAAATCTTTTGCTACTTTCTCTTGGTGGCTTTGCAGCCTTGGTAGTTGTTCGCACCTTTGTGCTTGGTGTTGCAGATGATAAAGTCAGGCACAAGGCGGGGGAAAAATCAGCAGAAGTTTTCAGAAGTTACTTCAGGCCCCTTTAGGAGCAATTTCCTATGGAGCGTGTGGCAGTTCTGTGTGAGCAGCTGTTTAATCAGCACTTGTGTTTTGGAGGATCGGAAGAGACGTTTTGCCTTTAACAGCATTTTTCGTTGGGGGTGTTGGTACCTTTTACAGCCCAAGCAGAGCTTGGCTCTAGGCACAGCCCAACAGGGGATTCTTAAATTTTCTCTTTGACATTGCCTGGAGAATGAAGGGCGGTTGTGGACAGCAGACTCCCAGTGTCCCCTCGTGCTCCCACCTCCTTCACTAGAGCTACGTCTGCCCTTACTGGTGGGAGCGAGGGGCTCCGGCGGCCTCGCTGTGGTTCTGGTGGCACAGGAGTGGAACAAAAGCTGCTCTTGGCCAAGGCCAAGCTCTCAGCCCAGGGCTGAGGTGTGAGGAAGCCGCAGAGTCAGGAGCCTGCATGACCGAGGCAGCTCCCCGGGGTGGGCTCGTACCTGGAGCCTCTCTGATGGCTGCGGCTCGGCAGAGCATCGAAAAATGGCCCAAACCACCTTCCCGCATCCCACTGAGTCTGTCAGCAGCTCTTGTCCGTGCTTCAGGTGATCTGCAGCTCAGTTGTGCAAGATTCTTTTATTGTGTCTTCGTTGGTCAAATACAGCAAGTCACTGGTGATTTTAATACAGAAGGGAGGGAGGAAAAAGAGCAAACATTTCCACTGAAAGTGAAACAGAACAAAAAGAGTCATTGGCCGTCCTGAAATTACCTCTTTCTTTATCAGAACCACATGGGCAGGAGGCAGGAAGCTGACATCTTCAGGTCCTTCTCCACTGCTTCAGCGGAGGGATGAAATCCAGTCCAGGAAAAGAATTTAATCTGAGCCAATTGCTTTTGTTGGCCTGCAGCGTAGAGAGATGGTCTGTATTAACACACAACATGTTTCTGGAAATTGTCTGAGGTTAGAATAAATCAGTTTGGGATTACATGATGTAGCCCTAGTTGTATTAAGAGTACTTCAGACGAAGAACTCTCAAATGTAGGAGCGATTTATAAAGTGAACAGAAGGACTGGGCCGTGAAACCTTGTGTGGGTTTGAACCGTGCACAGGGGGAAATCGTCCCTAGGTACTCTGTGGGGGGTTTCGGTTTGCGCGTCGTACAGGCAGCTCGCAGGACTTAGAGCACCTGCCCTTTCCTTTGGCCGCTGCCCTATTCTCAGCCGTTGCTTGGGACCGGTGGGTTTGCGTGAGGCTGCAAAAGGGAACGTCAGGCTCAGTCCTAGCGAGAGCTGCTCATGGTTTCTTTTCAAGTATTGCCTCACTGCTTCCCATGGCAAATTGCTCGGATCAGAAGGAAAGGTGCTAGGGATGGAAAGGGGAGCGGTTAGAGCGGAGGAGCCCCGAGCAAACCAAGGGAAGCGTTACCACCACTCCAGGCCCGCCCGGCAGCTCCACACACGGGCGAGGGAGCGGGCAGCGGTGACATGAACGGCCCCGGGCTGGGCGAGGGGCACTGCTCGGCTCCCAGGAGGTCACCGAGTAGCGACAGGGGCCGAGTTCAGCTCTTCCCAGTTCGTGAAGGTCAGCCGGAGGCTGCAGAGCTCGGGCAGCTCAGTTTTAAATCAGCTCCTCTGTCAGGCTGCTACTTTGCTCGCAGACCCGCTTCCCGCACGCAACCAGTAGTAAGAACGTTCTTTTCATCCCTTTTTATCCATTTCCTGGGCCCGAGAGGGTCACAGCCTAGGAGCAAGCATCTCTCAGCAGCACTGCAATCCCTTCAGACAGAGGGGATGGAAGTAACATCCCTCTCGCAGACGATGAAATATCATCTGTGGAAAATCTGTCTGAGCTTTAATTACAAAAATCTGTGTGGTGTACAAGATGACACTGGATTTGGCAACGTTGTCACAGAAATGTTGAGCTAGGGAAAGCATCTGGGAATGGAAATATTTTTAGAGTGGTTCTGTAAACAGAAAAAAAAAAAGAAAAAAGCAGTAATTAAAACAAGGCCAGCAGCGAGGTCTACTGGCTGTAACTCTGCGAGAAGCCAGCTAAGGAGAGCCAGAATTAGAAGGCCCTTGCTTTGATGGAAAGACACCCAAACCAGTTTTAACACATTCCTTTTGTTTTGCCTTCTTATTCCCGATTCCTAAATTGAATCAGTTTGCATCGGAGCAAAACTGCCGTGCTGCACGAGCAGGGTGGGTGGCTCGGCGGGCCGCGGTGGCTTTGCCGGTTTCGCGGCGCGTGCCCTCAGGACACCAGCTGCTTCCCCCCGACCCGAGCAGGAGCATCCTGGCAGAGAAGGGCTCCTGCTTCCCATCGCCGCCGAGGTCTGGAGCGTCCCGGGACGATGGCTGGGACAGCCGCGTGCGCCGGCCCCTTCCTCCTTGTGTGCAGTCACAGGACTGGGGGGCTCGGAGGGGTTTTTAGCCCTGAGGGGGATGCTGCTAGCGAGTAGGCTGTGCCGAAGGGAACACCAGAGGGAAGAAAACGCTCGGCAAGACCCCTGCGCTCTCACCGCGTCCCCTTTCACATGTCCCTAGCTGTCCACAACCTGTGCCGGGGACGAGCTGCTCAGGCGGTTCCAGCGCTCTTGGCCGCGGGGGCCTCGCTGGAGCAGCACCGCGTGTCCTTTTAGTCAGTGCCCGTCCCCTGCCCGAGCTGCTCATGGTGGCCGAGCGTTGCCGCGTCCCGCTTGGGAGCAGGTTTTGCCGTTGCAAAGCTCCGTCGGTACCCGGCTCCGGCGGGGTGCGTTCGGTGCCTCAGCGCCACTCGGTGCGCCCAGAGAGACGCGCTGGTGGGCTTGGGTGTAGAAACAGGCGCTTTGTATCCAACACTGCGGGATTTCTGTCCGCTTAAATTTTGTGTGGTAAAGAAGGACCCGCGCTATAGGTGTTTCCACTCTGAAAAGTCGTCTTGCGGAGGTATGCGAGGAGGGCGGTTACTTAGGGTGCGAATTCATACAGATAGCTGCACGCTGGGAGGTTATTTCAGACGTACAACGCGTTGGCTTGTTACACATTGGCCCCGTGCTTTTCCCAGATGAAGGAATGTTTTGGCAGGCATTAGCATTGTTTTACTACTTTTTTTTTTTTTTAAAAAAAAAAACAACAAAACACTCCAACAAGCACGTTATTTATGGGCATTTTTAAATAAATGTTATTAAACACTTTTAATATATCAGACTGTTTTAAAATGACCACCCATCTCTGCTGAAGCCTGACCCATAACTTTTCAGGAACGTTGAGTATTTCTGTTGTTTCCTTCCAAAGGGATTAAAGGAAATGTCAGCAGCACAACTAGCATAAACTGGTACTGCTTGCTCCAGCCGTATGTTGTGTATGGCAGCGCTTCGACCCTGTTAAGTCACTTTTATTCCCTCAGATATTGTTTAGTTAATTAGAGGCACACAAGGGAAAGTTAGCTTTTAAAAGTTTGAAATGAGAGCGCTCCTCAGCAATGAGTCAAGGCATATTTTCTGCAGGGGAACTGTTCGCAGAAAAAAATTTAAAATACACCGTTTTGCCTTTAATTTTCCTTCTGTGCCAAGTGTTTGATTTTCACTAATACATGAGAGAGGCTTAATCGAATTATTTTCAGGACTTTGTCTATAGAAAAGGCTTCTGGGCGCTGGGACGAGGCGCTGGCACCCGACTGTCCCTCGTCCGTGTGCCCAGGCTCACCGCCTTCGCAAACTCTCGAGGTTGCTGGGGGCACCTCGATTACCTGAAGTGTTAGTTTGTGGGGCGATGTTTTTCATTAGAGATCTTTTCAGTTTCCTCATAAGATTCCTCAGGGTCAGCACATAAGTTCATTCTGGAGCTTTGAGAAAAAAGGTCAGAAACGTGCGAGACCACAGCTCATCGCGTCCATTCTGCCTGTGGAAACCAGGTCCGTGGGGGGGGGGGTTTGCCCGTGTCGCACCCACACAGCTTCGACGTGCAGCGTGTCGTGTGTTTCATGCACATCCCTGTTCCCTAAGAGGAAGAACAGACTTTAAAAGCCACTTTCCTGACTCCCCTAAGGGACACCTCCCGTTGGAGCAGTCTCCGTTAGAGATGCTCACCAATCTAAGGAGGGGGTGGGTAACTCAGGAGACACGCAGTGGTCTAAGAGGAGACTTCCATCACTTTGGAGGCGTGTAATTGCCCCAAGATGGCTTATCGACCAGAGTCTGTGAGAATCCTGCTCCCGAAGGTCCTTCCCTGCTTTGTTTTCTGGCTCAGATCTCTGCTGGATCCAAGGTCAGCGGTCCTGGGTAGCTGCAGCCTAGTGAAAATAAGCGGGCAAGCTCTGCCCAGTTGCTGGCTGCAAGGTGCCCACGTCTCCAGTTAAACATCACGCTTCCGTTGCTTATCCTGCCGAGAAGCCCCAGGTTATAACCACAGAGAGGGGGAGGAGAGGGCTATTTTAAGGCTGATTAATGATAGCGAGCCTGCAAAGAGAAGATAGCCCACATGTTCCGTCATAAGATCTGTTTTCTGCCGTAGCCTAGGCAAAACCTTCTGTTTTCTGACTGTTTGGAATCCTTTGGGCAGGAAAGCGCCTTGCGCAAGGCCACACAGAAACGCTGTGGCACGCCAGGAACACCAGTCAGGAATATCAGTTCCCAGTCCCGCCTGCACTGGGGATGAAATCCCAGCTCCCGCAGCGTCCCCTCCCCGCGCGCCCCGGCCCAGCCGCCCCGCTGGCGCGGTTCCTCGCGGCGTGGACGAGCAGACGCGCCCGAACTCCCGCAGAGATGGCCCGGGGGGTGCTGCACCCCATCGGACTGCCGTCTGCGTCTCAAAACAGTTTTCCTTCAAAGTTCCCAGGAGAACTGATAGTTCCTGCTGGTCCTTGCCTTGTTTAATCGGTGTCGTTTGCATGGATGGAGCCAGAAAGTTTGTTTTCCGTTTCATTTTGTTACAGGGACACCCGAGTACGCCTGAGCGCAGCTCGGAGCAGTAATTAAGCAGAACTAGCTGTGGCGTTGCACCTGTGTCTTTGAACAAATTTATGAGAATTCCAGCAATAACGCACTGCGAGAAGCCTGCCTGCCACCACGGGCACCCTTCGGGGCGCTGACAACCAGCACCAGCTTCCCTCCTGCCTAATACTCTGGAGAACCTTGCCCAGACCCCCCCCGGCTGGGTCTCCCCTCCCAGGAGAGCTGCTGGGATCTCTTGGTGTAGAAAAGAGCGAGTTTAAGCGGCTACCTGACCCCGCTGAGCCGATCTTACCTTTAAAGAAGAGGGTCCTGTCTCGGGGGGGGGCTGCCCACGGTCCCTCTCTGGCGCACACAGAGTTTTGAGCAGCAGCTCACACCTCGCACGCTTTAGCACAGGTCGAATACGCCCCGATTTGAAATCCTCCTTAGCAGGGCTCGGCGTAAGCATCTGCGATTCGCCCTGCGCCCGTGCAAGAGGCTCGTCCCGCTGCCGTTACTTTTGTGCTGAGCTGTCCCTTTGCCCCGCAGCTGTGAACTCGTGTGCCCTGAACAACGGCGGCTGCGAACACGACTGCGTGCAGGTGACGCTGGCGCAGCACCGCTGCCAGTGCCGGCACAACTACCAGCTGCGGGCAGACGGGAAACGCTGCGCCTGTGAGTCCCCCGAGCGCGGGGCTGGGGGGGGGCCAGAGCTGCGCTTTGGCCTTTTTGTCCGGGGCAGGTGAGAGTTGGGAGGGCGGGGAGCGCGTACTTGCACGCTCAGATGTCGGCTAGATCTGACTGGGGTGTTGCTCACCAACAAAACGCTACGTTTTGTGTTGTCGTGGACATACCCTGCAGCTTGTTCTGAAGGCCCGGGAGGGCTGAAGGAGCGTAGCCAACAAATATGAAATTGTATGAAGGCGCACGCCTCCGGGAAAGTCAAGGAACAGCAGCGTGTCGCAGCAGGACGGGATCGTCTCCCTCTGCTTACAGACAGCTTTCTGGCTGACCAGCTCCCGGCTGCAGGATGGAGAGAAGCTGAAGGGGATACAGAGCAGAAGTTTAATCTTCTCCTTCGTAGCAGCTGGCATTCAAGAAGTGGGAGGAGGGAGGTCTCTAGCTGTGAAGCTGCTAAGGGAAAAGGAACGACTCGGGTATTAAGAATGCAGCAGTCAGTCGGGTTCTGTAGTGTCTGCCCGGGTGCTGGAGCAGGTCGGAGGTTGCCAAACCCCTCGGTGGGAGCACTGGAAGGCAACTTGCCCAGCACTTGCCCTAATCTCTGCAGGGGGACATGCCCGGGCCAAGCTTCTGCTGGGAAGCTCCGCTCAGGTTAGCGCCTGCCTTCTGCGGGCTCTCGCACCCCGACAGTCCTCCTGCCTGGGTGCAGCAGGGAACAGGGAGCAGAGGCTTGCTGTCTGGTGCAGAAGGGTTTTTCATGGACTGCAGATTTTTTTGCCAGGCCTGACTGCTTGAGGCTCTGTTCTCCCACGAGCAGGACCCGGGGGTAGCATGAAACAAGCCCGTGTCTTCTGCTCTGACCCGCAGTGAGGAACCCCTGCGGCGAGAGGAACGGGGGCTGCATGCACCAGTGCCACAGCCACGGCGGGACGGCCCGCTGCCAGTGCCACCCCGGGTACCGCCTGGCGCCCGACGGCAAGGCCTGCCAAGGTGAGCTCCCCCCGGCAGGGAGACCTCTGCGGGGAACCCACGCTCCGCCTCGGAGCCGTCGGTGCTGGTGAACGGGACAGGGGGATGCGAGCGCTCGGCCGACGCCGCTCCCAGGGCCCTGCGCGGGGGGCTGGAGCGGCACTCAAGCTCCATGAGATCCAATTTCCTGGGAAGCTTTACGGTAGTTCTGAACTCTTCACTCTGTTTCTTTGTCGGTCTGGACCCCCAGGGAAGAATTCAGGGTGCAAGAAACCAGTGAAAAACCTGTAGATCGTAACAACTGCCCCTTTGAAAGGATGTTTGTGGCTCATCCTGCTTTGCTGACCGATCGCTCATCTCTTGCAGACGTGAACGAGTGCCTGACGGGACAAGCCCGGTGTGCCCACCAGTGTCTTAACACTCGCGGGTCCTTTAAGTGCACCTGTAACCCGGGCTACGAGCTGGGGGCAGACAGCAAGCAGTGCTACCGTGAGTACCTGCCGCACGCTGGGCCCGTCTCCGGCGGGGTCGCTTCTGCAGGCAAGTGTTTGTGCACGGGCCGGCCTCTCTGAGTCCGCGGCACCAGGTCACAGCAAGCTTGGCTGAAGAATTTCACGAGCGGGTTTGGGGCTGTTTGCTCTCCCACCAAGATAAAAATCTTTGTCTGATCTTTAAAGTTACCGTGAAGCGACTTTTGCTGGTTTAGACAATTTATTTGGGGCCAGGTTTTATTTACCAATAATTTCATTTTGGCCAAGTTCTGTTCTTGGGGACGTCACTGGGTGAGTTCAGTCAGCTGCAGATGTGTAACTGAAGGAGGAATCGAGCTAGTGAAGTGATCACATCTGCTCCCCTCAGGAAGAAATAAACACTATTGTGCAAGAACGAGCCCGATTGTCCGTAGGTCTTTGCTCAGCTCTTACACAGCAGCAGGACAGTCCAAAGCAGAGCGCTCAGCATTTGGCACTACCAGCCCCCTTCTACATGAAGCCACCCCGGCAGCCCAGTGCTGGCAGCTGGTGTTACTGGAAGCCGTGATGCTCCACCCGCGCAGCTCTCGCTGGGAGCCTGCCAAGGGTACTGGGCTGAGGCTTTGCAGACCAGAAATGGGTCTTGAAAGGCATCAGACAGAGCGATGTGAGGACTGGGGGCAATGCTATCGAAGAGCCTAAGCGTGTGCACACCTTGCTTCCTAGGAAGAGGGTTTCATCTCACACCGCGTATTCTGCAAAATAACATCCCATAGCTCAGTTTCACAAGCAACTGCACGTTTGCCTTCAGCTGCTGGGGTGAAGCTGCACGATAGCCAGGAAGGCTTACAGAGGGTTGGATGAGGAAGCCGGGTCTGTGCCTAATAAACCTTAGCTAACTCCTCACCTAGCACTGCGACCGGGCAGCAGGGAGGATTGCCCTCTGTGGCTTCAGCTGACCAACCCACAGGTCACAAAAAGCTTAATTTTATTGCTCCTCAAGTGTTGGTTTTCCAGGCGGCCCCTGGTAAGAGATGCCAGCCCTGGAGCGTCACTTCTGACAGCGGGGACAGTGGAGGCACAAGCCCCACCCATGTTCTGACACGGCCTCTCCAGTTGTGGTGACTCAGTGCCAGATCCACAGACCGTATCTCGACTTCGGTGCCAACTGTAGCATTAAGCAGCCTTCTTGTATGAGAAGTGTTTCTCCCTGCCCCTTCTAGCCCATTTCTTCTATGCAAAACCCCAGTTGTTCCTGCATTAATAAGAGGAGAAAAGACAGAGGGACCATATTCATGTTGTGAAATCTGGTCTTCCACCACGGCACAGCTTTTGGTTTTGACTTGGGCAGATCCCTTGGGAAGCATCAAGCTGCCCTTCTCTCACCCTCCTTGGGGCTGAACACACTAAGAACACAAAAATGTTCTTGAAGGCAGAAATTGTTTGCCTGAGGTTCAGGACTGACTCAAAGCTCCATGGTACAAGTTCCTTTTAGTTTAAGAAAGCTTAATTAACTAGCCTGAAGTTAACATAAACCTTGCCAAACTAAGATGTATGGCTGCTACTGATGTTTGCACCCACCATTTTTGACACGTCAGTAACTAACGCTTCCCGCTGTAGGCATCCGGATGTTTCTGTAGTTAGCTGTAGTCTGCTGCTCCCATTTCTAGCTGGCATCAGAACAGCTCTGCACTTACAAAGACTGAGCCAACTTTTGGTTGGCAGCACACACTGCAGCTTGTCAGGAATGGGAGCAGCTCTGTCTGCAGTCTGGTTCATCTCAGAGATTGTCCAGAGCCCGCTCCACAGCTCTGTCCCTAGGAGGCTACACGGGGCGTTGCCTGGGATCCATCGGTTTATTTTCCTACATCACTTCCCAGCCCAGCGGTGGCCTCTGTGCAAAACTATTTTCAATCCTTTCCCCGCTGCAGATCGCTCTCCTCCTCAGCAGGGCTGTGCACGCAAAACCACGCGGGCAAGGAGCTGGGCTGGAAGGGGCTGGCTCGAGCCCGGCACCGAGGGAAGGCACGGGCCAGCCAGCACGTAGAGATCCTAACCAGTGTGCCTCTTCCAGGGATAGAAATGGAGATCGTGAACAGCTGCGAAGCCAACAACGGCGGCTGCTCCCATACGTGCCACCACACCAGCTCCGGCCCAGTCTGTACCTGTAACTTCGGCTATCGGCTGGAAGAGGACCGGAAGACGTGCACGGGTAAGGGGAGGGAAAAGGTACAAACCTTGTTCTCGCAAGCACGCAAGGTAACAAGGAGGATCTCCACGTGGGGAGTACCAGGTGTACGTGCAGTAGCCACTGTGCTACGCTGGCCACTGGCAACCACGTGCGTACGCACTACGAACAGGTTAGCAAGGCCAGAAACAGGTGCAAAGTCAAAGGAGGTGAGAGATTGCTCCGCTTGCAGCCATCCTCAAACCTCCCCTCAAGACCTCCTGGGACAGCAAACACTGACCTCAGGACTAGCTTTTCCCTGCTGAAACCGATCTAAAGCGGCATTGCCAGGTGCAGACTCTAATCCCGCATGGTGTAAGCCTAGGTCTAGAAGGGATGATGCTCGAGGTGTAGCGTCCGGCCTGTTACCTCAAAGGAAGCAGCGATGTAATTCGAGTAAATGAGCGATGTGCAAGAGTCACTAGCTCCAAGGCAAGTGTGGATCAACCCAGCTGGTTCTAGCAAGTGTGTGTTAAAGGAGAGGTCGGGGGGAGCTGCACCTCGAGCTCTGTACACGATATAAAGGTGAGCACGTTGGACCGCATTACGCTGAGCCCCTCGCAGGGAATACCCTGGTCAGAAGCCCGCGGCGGGGCTCCCAGCCAGGCTTTTACAGCCCCACTGTGCCGGGCTGGGGGCTGCTCCCGTGCTCGTGGCGGGGCACAGCCAGGCTGGGTGGGTGCCTCCAGCTGGTCCCCAGGTGCCGCAGGTCCTGGGGCCCTACCTGCGGGTTCGCTGAGGGTCTGTGCCTCAGCGCAGTGAGTCTACTGAAAGACTTCTCTTCCTATAAAACCAGCGAAGAGGAGGTTGTTAGCAAAGAGTAACGGTGTTTGGTGATGCAGAACAGTACTGACATGTTTCCACGCAGCGCAGAGTTGCAGTTCTCATTACTCAGGAAATAATTCTTGAATTTGTTCTTTGTGCAGTACCACCTTCTTCCTGCAGTTCAGGGAGCACGTCTGTGCAGGGCATCTGTTCAGGACAGACACAGACACACTCCTTGGGCTGTCACGGGTACCCTGGGCAGAGGGGGGCAGTTCCTCTGCCAGAGAGGAATCCCAAATCCCCAGACATTTGCTTTCCTCCATGGCTCTGAGGAAGCAGCAGGAGCTGTCTCTGTACCACACTGGAGAAAAAAAAAAAAACAGGACCTGAACTGCTCTGCCCTAGGAGAACATTTGTCCCACACCACAAAGCCCAGCAGCGCTGTTCGTTTTCCTACCAGACACCTCCTTGGTCCAGCCTCCCCTGGTGGTAGGGGGATGCTCCACAAACCCCCCTACTACACGGGCACCGTGGTAATTGCACTTCATAGTGATCAACACAAGTCCCATGAGTACCATTGAAGTGCAAAGCTGCAGGAGCTCTAGATCCATCCGTCAGAGACATCACTCGGGGACCGTTTGAAGGGCCCGTGCAGTTCTCAGCCGTCTCTGAACTCGACATCAGCATTTGTAACAGGGTGAATCAGAAAGCAAGAGCCAGTATTACAGCTGGAACGGCCCTTTTTGTAAGCACACGAAACCTTTGAGAACACTCTGGAACTGAAAAAATCACAGTTAACTTCCCGCAGGCCTCTAGGATTCAGGATCCCTTCCTTGGCTGAGGATGATCTATGAGCGTAAAGCTCACTCACTCCGAGAGGCAAACACAAATACTAGCTCAGCGCTTGGCAGGCAGATCAATAGAAGCTTCCCAGAACGAGTCACGGAGCAACTTTAACGAGCAGCGTCACCACCGCAAAGCTGGACGTGCATTAACACCTGGTGCCCTTTGGTTTTTATTTAGATATCAACGAATGTGACGGTGGTTCTCACTGTTGTCAGCAAGACTGTTACAATTACCCTGGAGGCTACGAGTGCGCCTGCTACGCGGGATACAGGCTCAGCACGGATGGCTGTGGGTGTGACGGTAAGCAGAAACATCTAGCTGGACTCTGCGAGGAAGCCAGCAGCGCGGCCGTCCTCAGCCTCGCAGCGCGGCGAGGGAGCGGGTCCCTCGTGCCCTGGCTTTCCGTGTTTTGTCAGCCTCCTCAGTCTGCGTAGCGTTCAGGCGACTCAGCTATTCTAACCCACGTGCTAGTCCAGCACAACGGGAGAGCGGCAAGGGGGCTTTTTGAATTCAAACCAGGATAGCTCACAGTGAGCTGGTCCAAGCCTGACTCCGTTCCTTCACAGAAATCATTTTATGTTTGACCCCAAAGGCCAACGTTGCCCATCATTTTTACCCAAGAGATACAGGCAGATAAAACTGTCTGTATAAGATTCAGCTATAACAGTGACTAAGCTGAGCTTTTAATAGAGAGAGCAAGAAATTGTCCTACCTGGGTTCAAACAGACAGGCATTTCTTCCAGTTTCTCCCAGCTCATACCAGTTTTCCTGTCAGCTGTCTGGTGAATCGCCTTCTCAGCACAGAGAACGTGGGGCTTCTCTCCTCCAACGGAGCTGTTCTCACTACCACAGCTCCCCAATAACATTCCACAGGTGTAAAGCCAAGCTTAACCCCCCGCTTCCTACACAACTAGTGACAGATGTGAACCGAAACCCAGGACGTGGCCCCTCGAAACCCAGGGGTCGCCGAATCACTTGGGCACTCAATTTTTGGCATCGGGTGGGTTCACTGAGGTGGCAGAGGGACAGAAATATATCAGGGCCCCGCGCTGTGCAGAGGGCTGCTCCCAGCACGCTGCAGCATCCTGTGTCTCGTAGATGTGGACGAGTGCTCTGCGAGTAACGCTGGATGCGAACACACCTGCCAGAACCAGCCTGGGTCTTTCCAGTGTGGCTGCGAGATTGGGTACAAGCTGGAGGAGGACCGAAGGAGCTGCAGCTGTAAGTGCCGGGCCTGTGCTCTGGGCAGTTGAGTGGCGGGCTGCCGGCCCAGGTGGGACTAGCACGGGCTGGAGCTCATTAGCCCCGCACGTCACCTTCTCCAGCTTTTTCACAGCACTTACTGTGGTGGGAATGACTCGTGTCACTAGTGGAAAGCTTTCCCCCGGGGGGGCCAGTCCTGTTCCAGCCTGTTACACACTTCCAAAGAAGCGCAGGGGGTTTTGGCACAGCGACGCTTGCAGTAGTCTGCAGTGACGACTCCACTTTAACCAGAGAACCAGAAACCTTTCCCCAGTCACCAGCCTCTGCAGTTTTTCCTTACAAGAAGTCATGGTTTTATCTTTTTCAAGGGCAGCGTCTTTCTGCCAGCACCAAGCACTCTGTTACCTACCTCACTCGCTCAGCAGGGCGGCCAACATCCCCCTCTCCACCCAGTGACCCCCGGCAGCATGGCCCGGGTCCCCCCAAACGGCTTTCTGAGGCCTGGACCCAGAAGAGCAGCACTCAGCACCCCCCCACTCTGGGAAAGCATCGGAGCCTGCTTCTGCCAGGGGCTCTGCCTGCCTCCCAGGGTGCCAGCAATGAGCTCGATCACCTGGGCTTTAAGCCTTGCCTACCCGCAAGTGAAGGAAACCTGTAGCTCTGCCTGTCAATACCCTTTCCAAAGGGAGAACCGAGCTGAAATGCATTGCCTACTTTTGTTAAATGAGCAGTCCGGTTTAATTTTCAAAAAAATTATTAACTTACCAGAAAACTCAGAGAAGGTGAGTGGCTCTGGTCAGAAAAGCAGCAGGTGATGGGTTGAGTGCGAGCCCAGTTACCTGAGAAGCCAGAGCTGTCAAGGTTAAGATCAAAGCTTCTCCCATAGATCCTGGAGTCGCTCAGCTGCCCGTGCCCGTTCTAGCCAACACAAACATCAAACAAGTTGCAAAAGTTTTAGAGGTGTCAGAACAGAGTGGGAGATCAGTGGTGCAAACCAGATCCGATGCCCCAGCCCTGTACAGATATTTCTGGTTGCCCTTTTTCACTACAGAGGTTCTCTCCCACTATTCACCTCTCGGAGATCTTGCCTCTTTCCCGCTTTGACATTCTCATCTCCGTGTCTGCTTCCCCAGCTATCGAGGGCCCCGTGGAAGCTCTGGATGGTCAGCGCCCCGTTATCCGCCCGATCCCTCACGTTGCAATCCTGCGAGATGAATTTACGCAGCTCTTCAGCGACGACTATGAAGAAGAGGAGGAGGAGATGGAAGCAAGAGGAGAGCACACGCTTTCAGAAAAATTCGGTGGGCATTTTGCAGCACTGGTAAACGGCAGACTTCGCTTGGAAGTCTTCAGAACTAACCGGTGGTGCTGGGTTTGTTTCTGCGTGGTGAGCGTACCCCCAAGGTTGCCGAGCCCCTTGTCCGCGCGCGCAGAACCCGTTACACCACAGATGTGTTGAGCTTTGCCGCAGCCTGCGGACGGGGAGGGGGTTCCTCTGCCCAAACCCTCGGAGGTGCCGAGGCAGCCCTGGGGGGGCTCCTCACCCGCAGCACCTTTCCTTGCAGTCTGCCTGGAGCACACCTTCGGCCCTGACTGCAGCCTGACCTGCGACGACTGCCAGAACGGAGCCACCTGCGATGCGGAGGAGAGCGGCTGCGACTGCCCGGCGGGCTGGGCCGGGCTCCTCTGCAACCAGAGTGAGTGGTGCCGGTGGCAGCGCCCGGCCAGGCCTGGCTGGCCATGGTGGCAGTGGCCACCGTGGCGGC